CTTACCAAGGTCTGCCTTGAGGTTTTCTGAAAGAGGAAGAGAAATAAAATCCATCAAATTGGGTTTTAGTTGCTCTTGAGTTTGGTGAGCAGCTGAATTAATTCTATTTGGCCATCTCTTATGGGTCCCATTGTTCAGTGGATGAGAAACATCAGCAAACATGTATGTCAAATGCAAAACACCAAGTGCTAAGAAAAGTTACATGGAAAGTTTCGTGGGGCCACACAGGAAGGAATGCCCAGGCTTCATGGGAATTTAAGATTCCTTAGTTATTTCTGAAGCTTATTCTTGAAGCACAAAGGGGAAGAGAAGATAAGGGAAGACATTTCTACAAAGAGAAACAGCAGCCGAGGCTGGGGCACAGAGGCATGAACAGGCCTGGGGCAGACCGGGGGCTTCATGACCCCTGCCCACAGCTCTCCTAACTCCCCACATGGTTTTCTCCTTTTCGTAAGACTTCCAGCTCAGTGGAATTCTTGGTACCCTGTGTTCTGCGTGAGGTTCTTTGGCAATCTTTTATTTCCCCAACCACCCTACGCAGCCTGTATCTGCAAGTTTTCCATAAACCTCTGATTTGACCTGCTGCCCTGATTTACCTTTGACTTCAAGCACCTGTTCCTTTTCTCCCCTCATCTTATCCTTTTCATGAGATTCTTTCTTCCTTTCCATTACTTCTCTTTCTTTGGCTTTATGTTCTCTCCAGCCGGCGTAGCTGATCCCAATGAGGAGAAGCCCCAGCACAGGGAGGGTCCCAGCCAGAGCTGCCTTCCATGGAGACGTCCTGGGGAAGAAGGCCTCTGACGCAGGCATGTGGAGACACGGTGAGAGACTGCCCCCTCTCCAAGGGCCTGTCGGCCCTCCGTGCCCTTCACACAGCCCAGCTCTGCCTTGGGGTTTGCGCCTTACTGACCTGGGAGGAAGACGGCCGACACTCTCTCCTGGCCGGAGAGGGTGTTCTGGATGGAGCAGGTCACGTTGCCCGCAGAGCTATCTGTGACCACAAGAGATGCCTCCACATGGAACAGCCCATCTCCATCCTGGGTCTGAGACTCAGAGAGGGATGGCAGCTTCATTCCCGCCATGCCGCTCCACTGCACCCTGGGTTTGGGGAACCAGCCACCCGAGGAGCACAGAACTCGGATCCCGCCATCCTCGGGGCCCCTCATGTGAACATGAGGGGCAGAGCCCACGCCTGAGGAGAGAAGGCATGTGCCTGAGGCCTGAGGTCCTTGAGGGCTCAGGAGTCCCTGGGGCGGAAGGCCTAACTGCCCCTCACCAGGCTGATGAGAAAACGGAAACTCAGAGTTCAAGAAACTGCTCACAGCCAGTGCTAGGCTTAATTGTGATTCAGTTTTTAAATCAACTTAATGCTTTGCACTTTACATGGACTGATAGCTCTGGGGTCATTCCAAAAGAGAAAAGAACAGGGACAATTACAGTCAGAAAAAAGGAGTTTAATTCTATTAAGTTGTCTTTCTCTACTGATTGAGAAAAAGAATATTTGAAGGTGTCAGTACCTATCTGAATTCATATAGTTAACTAATTTCTGAGATCTTTTTGGATATCAAAATATCCTCAGAAATATTTCCTTCTTTGTTTAAAAGCAAAGAGTGTATAGTCTTATCCTCACCATACAGTTTAGGAAATCGACATTCTACAAGGTAAAGTTGTATATCAACACGTGGACGCTCACAAGAAATGCC